CGCCGAAGCGAAGGCGTCCTGGATCGCGGAGAATCCTCGGGGCTCCGGAGGAGTTCTCACCTACATCGTCCATATAGGACGACTCGGGAACTCAACTCCTACCCCGGGCAGCTCACCTATCCCCTTATGCCCAGGGGAAAGGTATCAAGCCGTTTGACAGCTGGTGCTGGCTGTCAAACCGGCTTTTACGCAAAACAGGTGGGAGGCAGCAAACAGCTGCGACCGACGAAATCGCCTGCCACCGGAAGTCTCTCTTTGCTTGTGGCTTCTAACTGGATTTAATTTTTTCATGGTGGACATTCTGCTTTAGGGGTCAAAATGGCTTGGGTTAGTTTTGAGTTGAAAAGTCTGCTCTGATTGCCAATTAATTATCAAGATAAGTGATTTATGTCCATTTATGGTGTTCAGCCCAGAAAGAAGTTATCTGATAATTATTTGCTTTTCTGTAGGTCTACTCAAGCCTTAAATTCTTTCCTGCCTATCATAATTAGTGACACAAATTTAATTGTGGTTAGAAACATTTTTCTCTATTATAGCATCCATGATGTGAAAGATGGCCCCCACCGCCTGCCATCCACACACCCACTCCCCTCCAAATGTTTGTGCAATAAATAAAAGCCTCCCTATCCAAGAAAAAGGCATAACTGGTGCACAATATGAAATTGAGCAAAGGCCTCCTAGCTATGGCCACTATATGCTCTTCAAGCAGAAACCATGAATCCAAAAGGAACCCCAGATTACACACTGGGTTTGTCTTGGGTAGTGCAACCCATCCGAGATCAAATTGAGGGACCCACTCACAGCCACCTTTCTTACCAGGTTCAGCTGAAGTTGATTGCTGCCCATCCAGGAGCCCACAGTCTCTAGGCACTGAAAAAGAATGTCCATGGCATCACTCACTTCACCTACAATGGAGATATATAACTGGGTATCCTTCATATACTGGGGATACCTCATATCATGGTGACAGATAATCTCACACAGCGATTTCATGTAGATGTTAAAAAGGAGTGGAGAAAGCACTGCACCCTTTAGCACTCAACAAAGAAAGTGCTATGAGCTGGACCAATCACTCTCTATTAACACTGATTGGGACCAGCCTGGGAGGAAGGAGTTGAACTGGCAGAGAACTGTGCCACCCACTGCCAACTCCCTAAGTTAGCCCAAAAGATATCGAATAGTGCCAAGTATATGCATATCTGTATATATGTATGTGTGTGTGTATACACCCACACCCACACACATATATACACACACACACATATGTGTACACACACACACACACACACACACACATATCCTTGCTCTTCTTGATCTCTTGGCACTATTCGATATATATTTGATAATATATATATATAATTCATATAGCTGCCTATCTCACAGAACATGAGTCTGAGTGGCCTAGAACAAAAAAAACCAAAAAAACCAAAAAACCAAAATCAGTTGGGATTTCTAGTAACAGAATAGCAAAGAGAGCTATCATTATAAGCAATGCTGCCATCTCACTAAATTACCACTTCCCATTTATTTGTGAAATGTATTAATTTCATAAAGGTAGAATGCAAGTTAATAGCACAAAAGCAAGTTTAGCATTTTGTTGTTGTTTTGGTGCTTTTTAGTCATTCTTGATTCCTGGCAACTACTTGGACAAGTCTGGGTAGTTTCTTAAGATTTTCAGAAATGGTTTGCTATTGCCTACTTCTTAGGGCTGGGGTAATGTGACTGGCTCAAAGTCACCCAGCTAGAACTCATTGTTTTCTGGTTTGTAATGAGGCGTCTTAAATCAGCAGTCCCCAACCTTTCCAGCTCTTTGGATTGGTGGCGGCAACAGTGGCAGTGGGGGGAGGGCAGAGGGGATGGCTTTGAGCATGCTGCTTGCACAAATGCAGCTTCATGTGCTCGTGCACTCACCCACCGCTTGCGTGGCCCAGTTCCCAAGGGGCCGCAGCCAAGCACCATACCATAGATCAGGGGGCCTTAAATCACTACACCAAACTGATTATCATCTTCAGTTTAAAGACTTTTAAAATTCTCTTAATGATACCCGTATTTGTATCTATATATTTTTCAATGCGATCATTTTTTTGCATCTACTTTTAAGCACATGGCAATTTTAAAATGAATAACTTTCATCTCCTAAGGTTGATTACTTCATATTTGTTTCTCTGCACTGCAGGCCAAAATTACCTTTTGGATGTGATGGGAGAGAATAACTTCAGCTGAAGTAGATTTCATCTCTTCTGTTCCCACATTTCCCTTGGTACTGATGTATGGCATTCCCTTCTCTTCTAATAGTATATGTTTTCTCAACAATATTGTCATTTTTTTTCTTTTATATCAGTCCATGTAAACAGCTTATTCATAAGTGAAGTGCATTTGGTAAGTCTGTCAATTTAGCATTTGTGAACACAAGTGGGGATGTAAATACAGTTATTATATGTATTGGATTTATTTCCGTATTAGATTTGATATTGTTGCATGCCACCTTGTCACCTTGATAAACAGGACTGGATCCTAGAGAAAGATGGAATAGAAGCTCAGAGCCCCAAATAACTGTCTGAAAGGGTTTTTGGGGGGGAGGGTGGGAGTAGTGGTTTCTTCTTGAGTTTAAGCACACCATTTTGTGTTTAATTTGTGGAGATGGCTATGGTGGGATTACACAGCCTTTCCACAGTTGAGGCATTGCGCAGCATGTTGTAAGATGGCTAACACAGAAATTTTGCTCTTTGATAATACATCATAGCTCAAATATAGTACCAGCAAAGAGCAACCATTTCCCCAGATGCTGCCAGCAGACTTTAAAGATATGAGGAAAATTCAGCAGCTGATCAGCTCTTCTCTCTGGTGAAAATTTATAGTATAAATATTGTCTACTAAAGCTTTTTTAGTTGGTGGCACTCTTGCAAAATGGCAGCCATAGAAGGTGTAATCAGTCCCAAAATATCAATGCACTGGAAAGAACTTAGGAGAAAAGCTGCCCCACCGTTTTAACTCCCAAGGACCTCCCTTGCAGCTCTCCTTTTGCTGCTGCTTGCCTGTTTGTTTGGCAAGAGTGCATCCTTCTAAGCCAGTGGTTCTCAACCTTTTTAATGCCGCGACCCCCAACCGGTCGTAAGTCGAGGACTAAACTGGTCATAAGTCGAGGACTAAACCGGTCGTAAGTCGAGAACTACCCAACCGGTCGTAAGTCGAGGACTTTCCCTGCCCGGGAGCGCCGCGCATGCGTGGTTCCGCCCCCTGCGCCGGCCGAGGCGTAGCTGGCAAGTGGCAGAGACAGAGCAGGCCGACCACCAGCTGGCCCAGCCCAAGGGAGGTAAGGCACCAGCCGGA